AAAAAAAAACCAGTCGTATCCAAATTCGTATCAAAATTAGATCCAGACGACGACGATTGAAACACAACAGTACGAGTACGTATCGGCGTGCAACAAACCRCTGTAATTATCGCGACTCGTGTACGACGATTAATCCTAATATGGAAATCGGTATTGCACGCGCGAGCGATTATAGAATATTATGACTTGTATAATATTATTTCTATACAACCGACTCGGGAGAGAGAAAATTTAACGAAAATATATTATTTTATTATTATTCATCGAACCTAGGTAGGTTAGGTCTGTAGTCTGCGTTTTCGTGTTGTACGCATCTACAAGTACAGCTGTTAAAACTATATATACATATTATATAGCACACACAGTGTACATAATATTATAACACTTGGGTGTCGGAAGCACTGGCAAAGCGGTGCACGGTAGCGTGACGGATATTTCAAGGTTAGTCGTTGGAGGCGCGTTCGGATTTTTTTATTATTATTCAAAATAATGTGTATAATATACAAACAAACGTAGGGTAATAATGTAATGTATTATTAATTTCATCTAGTGAGTAGTGGTCAATTACCAACAAAAAACCACCGTTACTTTTTAATTATACAATAACAACAATTAAACCGAACGTGATAGACGCACTAAACATACACACACACTTTTGAACCAGCGATAGTTTTGAGTAAAAACTGAAAATTATAACACCGTGACGGTTGTCGAAAACGACGAGCCTAAAAACAAAAATAACACGACTGCCGAATRCGTGAAAAAATGGTATAGATACCTATAACAACAGCAGTGTTGTTGATATTTAATAATAATTATGAAACATTCTATTACTCGGGAAGAGATACACACACCCAGTCATGGAGAGCAGGCCCCCATAGTAATAATAAAAATAATAAACACATATGCCACCACCACGCCACGCACTGGTATTACATGAATTTTAAATTAAATTTACTATTTGTTGTCGAGATAATGTAAAAATAATACTACAATAATATTAATAACCATATTTTTTATGCTTCGTCGATGGTTCACATATTATATAATAGTCTACAAAATGGTAGTAATAAACCATAAACGTATATATAGTAAGTAAACTCTTGATAGTTATTGAGCTTGTTGTGCGTCATCGTCGACATCGTCGACATCTCCCC